TTTTTTTTGAGATTCAGAGTAAAGAAAAGCTCACAGTCACATGTTGGTCTTCTTGCTCTTTTATCCTTTTTGGATTTTTACACCTAACATTTACTTAACCGTTACTTAAAACCTAGGATGTCTGTCCCTCTGCCCCTACCAAAGGTGACTTTTAACAAAGTGTAACCTGTCCAGGCAGAACACCAGGATACCTTTGCATGTCTCTCATTAGTAAATTAAGCCCTATATAGAGTCCTTAAAATTAAATTTAAGGACTCTATTGAGCAGTCTTGGCCTGTTCTCTACACATAAGTGGACTGACTCAAAGCAAAAGTTGCCACCCACAGCAATCAGTACAGGTGTATTTGGGGATGGAGTGATCAGTTTAGGAGTTGCTGGGTGCTGTGATTTTGGAGTGATCAGTTCAGGTGTTTTGGTGGCGCTGTGATCTTTCAGACTGATAACTGCTAATACCTCTGTTTCCATTTCCTTTAGCTACGTCACAGTAAATCCTACCCTCTGCGACTGCCTGCTGGACAAATCGGAGTACCAGTTGGTTGACAAACTAAAATGGGATAGCCTTTTTGCCAGGTAGGGTAAAAACACCCTTTTCCAATCACACTTATTTAAGGACTCTTCTGCCCCTGTTTTATTGTTGTTTTTTTTGCTTGCTGAAAATAAAGCCGGTTGGTATTAGAGGACCAGTAGGTGGTGCTCTTCCCTCTGCTCTGAATTTCCTACCTGGTGCCCCAGTATGATGAGGGGGAACACTATGCTGTAGGGGGGCATCAGCCAAAGGATGACATGTTAAACTGAGGGCCTGAATCCCTGGCCATTAGAGATCCTGTGGCCCTGCTTGTAAAGGTAGGGGAGTTCCCTTCACTGGTACCCTGGCTAGTCTCCACTATGAGCTCGTGCGGTCGGGCTGCCCCTCGCCACTTTAATTCAAACGGTGAAGTCCTTTCTCTCTGCTCCCCTTGCGTCGCCTGCTGTCGGCGTGGGGCTGCTGGTGAATGAGAGCCAGAGTGTCTTCCAGGTGGGGGCAGCGCTTCAATCGGGGATGAATCGGGTCCCCTTCTCTTTGTAATTTTCAGTGCGTGGGATTATTATTATTCCAAAATAAATGTCCGCTTCCAGAGAGCGACTCTGCATCGTTCTCGCCGTTTCGGGCACACTCTGGTTGTGGTCGTCCCGTTTCGAATGAGTCGCGCATCTGCGTGAGGCACAGTGACTGCGGTGAGGGCATCGCTGCGCGCGGGTGGCTCCTGCAGTGAGGGCATCGCTGCGCGCGTGTGTGGCTCCTGCAGTGAGGGCATCGCTGCGCGCGTGTGTGGCTCCTGCAGTGAGGCCATCGCTGCGCGCGGGTGGCTCCTGCAGTGAGGGCATCTGTCTGTCCCGCCAGGTGCCTGGAGAGGATGCAGCCGTGCCACCAGCTGCTGTTCCCAGGACAGCAGCCCATTGTGAAGAAGGGCCACATGGAGCCCATTGACATCACAGTGGCCTCCAGGGGCTCCAATAAGAAGGTACACCTCGGGCCTCTCTCACTACTGCTCATCGAGTTGATTCTTCAGCTGACTCATTTTCAAACCAAATACGACTACTAGTAGGGGGCTAATTCAACAGGCTCTGAAGGCGAGAAGGAGGCGGTCAGAGTCTTTCCGCTGGCAAGCTGTAATCTAGTCGCGCTTCCTCATCCAAAGAGCCATTTTTGCCAACGGGCACAACCCAGCGTGATACATCTGTCCCCACCCAGCCTTGTTAAAATAGCTTTGCAGTACAAGACGTACCTAAAGGTTGATGTGAACTGGAAATCGCCTGTCGAGCAGCAGCAGCCGGGCATTGCAGTCACATCTGAAAGCACGTTTGCCCCATGTGCCCAGGCGAGCACTGTCACAGGAAGCGTGGGTGCTATTCTTTAGCTGCTGCAACGCACTAAGGAGGAGGTTCTTTGCCTCCCGGTTGAAGACGTCACACAGCTCGTGTCTTCCTGCAAGCCTGGCTCTCTCACCCTGCTGCCCTCCCTGCAGGTGACCCTGATCAAGAACCTGGAGGCGTACGGCCTGGACCCCCACGACGTGGCCACCCAGCTGCAGCACTGGGTCCAGGCCAGCTCCGGCATCAATCCGCTTCCGGGCTCAAAGGACAAAGTGCAGGTCCAGATCCAGGGGAACCAGATCGCTCGGGTCGGAAAGCTGCTGTTAGGTGCGTGCCTCGCTTCTGGGAAAGCAATGCGAGCTTCCAGGTCATGTTGATATGCAGTCGGACCTTTTGTTTCTAGTCTGTTTTGGGCCATTGCTACTTAATTGGCTGTGAACTAATATACACAAAAATTATAAGGATAATAGACACTGATCTCTCCCCGATACGGATATAGAATATAGAAGGTAGAATTTTCTTTTGAAACAAATTAAATGACTTGTATGCATGTAATTTCATGGGCGTAGATTCATTTTAGTAAGGACTGTGGTGTCAAGCAATTCACAGAGGTAGTGCTTTTGAAATAACATCCTGATTTTCATCCTCAATGCTGATGCCTACGTCCTTTCTTCTCTTGCAGAGGACTACAAGATCCCACGCAAGTTTATCCAGGGGCTTGATAAAGTCCCCAAGCCCAGCAAGAAGAAATGAGAGACAGCGCCCGTCTGATTTGACCCACAGCAATAAAGACATGCACAAAGGACACGCTCTGCTGTAGTAAATAAAAGTCCCGTTTTACTTTTGCAAATCTAGGCATCGTCATTACTCAACACGGCTGCTCTGTATACAAATATACAAGTGGAGCCCTGGCAGCTTGTTCCTGAAAGCTGGTTAAATATCAGCAGACCAGTTTGAAGGCAGCTACACCGAAGATTAGTTTGTAGCATAACATATACAGAAATATACAAGCAGCAGTTATGAACTTTCAGTCATCCTGCTCCCATCAGTTGCATCAGTACAGACTCACCTGTGTGATTTTTTTCCAGCCGTTCAAAGTTGCTTCATCCTAAGGAGAGTTATGATGTGCTGGAGCCTGACGCAGTACAAGCTGGCACGATAACCCAGTGCATTGCTGGGCCCGAACTCACGGAGAGGGTAGAGATTAATCTAGCCACTGCCTCAGGAAGAGGGAGGGGAAACCAGAGAAAACCCAGTGTGCACATGAGTTAACATGGAAAGTCCCACAGAAGGCAGGCACCCCAGTGTGGATTCAAACCCGCTACCCAAGAGTTGTGAAGCAGCAGTGCTAATTGCCATAACACCACCTTCTGTGTAATTGTGCTGTGTTTAAAAAAAAGTTATTCCTAGAGCGGTGAGATGGGTATTTTCCATGTCTTTGCAAGAAGAAAGCTGTGCTCGGTTGTTTCACTCACACCAATTGTTCAATGCACTCGCCCCGTGCATTGCCTGCGATTCATGATGCGGCCGGTAGAGGGCGACAGAACTCCTTGAGCATTTTTTAAATGGAACCGCCACACGGAAGTAGAAACATGAAAGACTGAGGAGAACCCTGTAAAACAACATGGTGCTGAAGGACAAAAGAAAACGCCATTATAAAATTATGGCATGTTTTATTTACTTCTTCATTTTTTTACAGCTTTACAGATATTTATATCCTTTTTTTAAAGTACAGTATTGCCTGTAAGCAATGATTGTTAAACTCCCAACTGCACGTCGAGAAACATGAAATAAAATTCCTAAAATAAATTATTCACACATGTATCATCAAGGGGGACCCCGAAAAACACGCCTTCGTCTGCCCTTGTAAAACATCCAGCTCCACCCTGGATTTCATTTGAGTTTTTTTACAATCTGTATTTTAATTTCTTTCAAATGTACTTCTTATATATACAGTCACACCAGTCAACACAGAGCAAAAGGCACTACCAGCAGTCGACAACACTGCTCAGTAGAAGCTGAGCGCTGAGCATGCAAGCTTGAAACACAGACCGAAGCATCCAGACCCTAAAGCAGCTGATGCTCCCAGGCTCTGGGGCAGAGGCACCCCTTCGCGAGCACGAGCCGGAGCTGGGGGTACAGTGTGCAGAAGGGGACAGCCCGGTCTTCTGTGCAGCTAAAATTCTCCAGGATTGCCTTGAGCTCACGATGCCTCTACCAGCCCAGGTTATTAATCGGGCCAGCCCCACAGACCCATATCCCAGTCTAATATTTAATAATAATTAACCCTTAATTAACCCTTTACAATTTCTTGCATTAGGAATTCTCTTTTCACATACCCCATTGCTCTCCATGAGACACACAGATAGGGAGAGAGCCTGGGGTCAGAGTGCAGGGTCAGCCATTGTACAGCACCCCTGGAGCAGTTGGGGTTAAGGGCCTTGCTCAGGGGCCCAAAGGAGTAGGATTCCTCTGCTGGCTGCAGGATTTGAACCGGCAACCTTCCAGCCACAGGCGCAGATCCTTAGCCACAGAGCCACCGCTCCGCCCCCTTAAATGCAGCCCCATTTACACGGCTGCAGTCTGTGTGGGGTGGCGGAGGCTGGGGTTCGAGCCCCGAGGCGTAGGCAACACAAGCATGAGGCCCTTGGAAGCCCTTCGTGGGCGGCTTCAGCATGGGAGCTGTGCGGTGAGGAGCAGGGGGGCTCCGCACCTGTCCTGGAAAACCAGTCCACCAGTCCAGGACAATGGAGCACCTATGTGTGAGACAAAACATCTCAAAAGAAGTTCGGACTGTAAATCGGATCTTTGGGCTTGATTACATCAGCTCCTTGAAGCTCCCATCATGCCCTCCAGCGGCCCGCAGAACGACACCTGGACAGCAGCTGGGCAGCTTCACCTTGCACCCTTTTCACACCACAAAGAAGGTGCACCATTTAAACGACACATTTCATTCTTCTGTTCCGTTTCGTACAAAATATATTACAATCCTAAACATTTTCCCCAAAAGTGCTTGTCCTCCTAGACAACCCTTTTCTGTTACTAAAGCTTTACTCTATGTACATCAGCATGTTATCACTTGGGGTGTCACTCTTGTGATGTGGAATCTAGAGTCTCGTGACCTTTCATGCCCACTTCTCTCCTCGTGACACCCGGATGATTCCAATGATTCTCGAAGTTGCTGCCCTTTGCCTTCTACCCTGTACTTCTTCTCTCTGTTTTCGTGGTGTCTTTACTGGCTGAAGACAAGAGCTCCGGGTTCAATCTGTCTTCTCACTGCTGGGGCATCCTTGCCTCTTAACCAGTGGGATTCGTACCTGGCCAGCTACGATGATCATTCTCAAGGTCACGCATGCATATTATATGTCCACCATGAAATTCAAGCCCTAAGGAAACACACTTTCCAGGTGCATTTAGTAATTTTAGTGAAGTGCTTATAATTTAAAACAATAATGTTCTTCTTATTAGCAAATCCACCACAGCTGCAGTTTTCTGAGGCTGAACGAATTCACGCCTTGAACTGGAGGACACCGATCAGATTTACAGCCCCATCCTCTCGTCAGAGCGGAGGTTTCTGTTATCCTGCCCACATGGCACGGACTTCTGGAGAACTAACATCTGACATTTTTCTGCACTTGGAATACAGGACGCAGATCAGCGCATTACTTGTGCAAAGGAGGTGCAGGAGCCGAATGCGTGTGAAATGTGATCCCCCATTCCTTCGCAGATGCGCTAGAACATACCACCTGCATGGTAGTAGCCTCATAATGTCAAAACCTGGTGGCCGTTATGCAGGGGATCTCTCCAATATGAATCTGGTTACCGAAGCCCCTCTATCTAGGAAACCATGTCTCGGATAAGCACTAACAACAACCCCCAAGCAAGCCCTGCTCGTGCTGTAGGTCTGTTATGAAACACAGGTGTAAGGAACACTTCTCTGATCTCGCTGTGCATTATTTTTCTCCGTTTGGGTTAAATTCAATACTGTTTCAACTGTTTCAATACTCCCCCCCCCCCCGCCCATCCTCAGAGGCATGCATTGTAGGCCAGCGCAGTCAGTACAGAACTCATGCTTAAGTAACACTTGCAGTAGCAGCAGTAGCAGCAGCAGTTACACAAGGTCCGACCCCTGAGTCACACAGTCCTGGGGGGTTCACCCCATAAACTGGCTCAGATCCACCAGGTGGACGCAGTCTAGATTTCGGAACAAAAAAATAACCTTTGACACAATTCCTGACAACTCTGCCAGCAACCCCCAACCCCCCATCTCCATCTCTCCCTCCTGACCTCAGTCCTCCGTCTGTATGCTGTTTTCTGGTCAGAGGGGGCAAGCCGGCAGTGTCCTGAGAGGAACGTTACCGTATGTCCATTTTTTCAAGTTATCACTTTCGTCTTCCCCCGTTTGCTCTCCAGCTGTGTCCGGCCTCCTCGGCTCCTAGCCGGGCTTTCCCTGAGCTTCCTGTAAGGCCTGTTTCAGCTTCTGCTTGTACAGCTCGTACTTCTGCCGCACCTGTTTCACCCGGTCGCGCTCCTCCTTCTCCAGGATGGCGAGGAAGTTCTGCAGCTCCGGCACGGAGAAGGCATGCCACTGCGGAGAGGGGGACAGAGAGAGGGTCTCTATGTGCTGCTCCCGGGAGGGTTTTAGTCAGAAGTTCAGGATCCTACTGAATGTGAGACAGTTGGACAGGTGAAAGACAAGCTAGGCAACGGATGTTTCACCAGTGTTTTTCTCCGTTGGAAGCTGTCCTATTCCAGCTCAGAGAAGGCCTCACCTCCACTTCGTTCGTCTCGTTCTCCTTGAGCACGAAGGTTAGCTGGTTGGGGTCAGGGCCTGCCAGCAGCCGCAGGTACAAGGGGTTCTCCGTCACCGGTAGCTTCTGAAAGAGGTCTGCGAGAAACACACACAGACATCAGCCCACAAGCACCGAGCAGTGCCTTCAGAGGGGATGCCCTGCCCAGCTCAGTGCTCACGACACTCCTGCCTCTAGGCTCATGTGCAGACAGTTTCCTCCTTTTCAGAAACACTGAGTTTCCCCTGGTCTATTCCAGATTGTCCCAAATCCTCCCCCACCTGGACAGACCACCAAGCAGTGATGCAGCAGGTATTCACAGTAGAGGACAACTACAATTCCTGTTCTGGAACTGAGGCAGGGCTTCTAAACCAAGGGCTGACAATAAAAACGTTTCCTTTTTTATTTTTAAACAGTGGGGATGAACCTGACTGGAGACAGCGAGGTATGAAAAAGAAAGATCAAATTGGAAAATTTTTCATAAATTGTAGACCTTTGTGTCGAATGTCATGTGTGCAGACTGGAATGACCGAGTCCAGGAAGGCTAAGAGAGGCTGAGTCTCCCCCTACCTTGGCCGTCGCGGTGCGTCTGTCGGTAAAGTGCGAATTTGCGTGGATTGTCGAGGACCATGAACTTCTTCAGCAGGCCCTGGATGACCTCGCTGACTGTGGTGGTGCTGCTGATGTGCAGCTGCTTCACGGCGTCCAGCGGCAGGTAGAACGAGGTCTTCTGGTCAGAGCTGTCCGCCGTCCCGGCCCCGCCGCCCGCGGAGCACACCGTCACGGGCCGCCGCAGCTTCAGGTGCACCTTGACGAAGCCCGTGTACGTCTTGTCCTCGCCCTGCCGACAACAGAGCAGGCCC